TTTTAAGGTGAGACTTCCTAATATGATATTTAAAATGTGATTTTAAGCTTTATAAGACTATTTGAGTATTCTAAAATTTTTTCTTAACCATACTTTTTTTTTATTTCTGATTTTGTGGTGGTAGAAAATCTAGGATTTGAAAGAGGGATAAATTTTTATTGAATAAATATGATTGTTGAGATTGTTAGTACTATAATAAATATTCTAGAGTATAAATTTGTTGATGAACTTGAAATTTGAGGCTTATGGATCAAACACTAGGCTAGATTTTTATTAAATCCAAAAATATATGTTGATTTATTGAGATTTAGATGATTATTTAGGATGAGAAATGAATTATTATGGCTATAGGATAATGATTCTAAGCTTGAGACTCAATTTTCAATTTTTTAGTATTTTAGGTGTGAATTTATGAAATAAGAAGGAAAATTTTGATAATAGAAATTAGTTTAGAGGTTGATTTTAGCTTATTAATATTTATTGATGACTAAAAGAAGAGTTAAAAATGTTACTTAATAGTACTAACTCTAGATTTGTATTAAGATTGAGATTAAAAATTATGTCATATTTTCTAATCCTATTTTTAGAGTTATTTTATTAGTTTCAATAATTGAAACTAATATTTATAAATAATATGTTATTTGTAGATTGTGTTGTTGGTGAAGATTATGGTGGGAGAGAAGTTGTAAGGAATAATTTATTGAAAAAGCCACAAGATAACCATGCTTTTAATTTGTGCTTAGTGTTGCTTCATGTTAATTGGGTGATTATTGAGAAAATTATGAATTGTTGTTGAGAAATTACCTTATCATGTTTATGAAAAAATTGTGAAATTGTGAATTTGCATTTTGAAGTATTTTTTCCAAGTGGGATGTCATATTGTAATATTGTTAAAAATGAGAAAATTGTGAAGATTATAATATTGTATAATTGTACAATATTGTTATGAATTTATTTGATTAGTGTGGGAGGTGTTGGGAGACTTGTTTTTGTTATTGTATTTATGTGTCCACGTGGTACGCCCCTATTGGAGCCCAATAAGTGGCTTGTAAGGGCTTGGGCTAATCTACCTTTGGCCAGGTAATTTAGTACCGAGTGAGGATTATGGCTCAAGATTAATGGAGGGAGATAAGGATGGTTGTTTGTTTAGTATTGTAATATTTCTTGTATTTTTGTTCGAATTATATAACTGTTATTTCCCCACTTAGCAAGCACACATTTAACTGTTTGTATACGCTATCATAAATTGGCATTGGTTACTGGGACGTTTGAGTTTCATTATGTGGTTAACAATTTTCAAGATAAGAGTCACGAGTGGCGCGTGGAGGAGTCCCTAAGGCTTAGTGGCATAGGTCCACTGTCTCCTTTAGGTATTTGATTTATGATTTTTAATGTGTTATATTGCCAATACTAGGGCTTTTGTTTATTAACAATTATATGAATGTAATGATGTAATCATGCCCTTCAAACTATTTCAACTTTTAGTACACTTTGGATGACTGTAACTTTGATCTTTGATTTATTTTGGATGGTTTTGAAATGACATGATTATGAGGCCAAATAATTGGCTTGTTTTGGGAATTGATTAAGTTGTTAGTTATTGGTTTATAGTTTGCACTTGTTGGGAGTATAAAGATGAAAAATGTGATTTTAGCCTAATGATATATGGGAAATAAAAATTTATCTGAAATGTTTTATTGTGCAAGTTTAAACCAATTATAAAATGTTTTATATTAAATTTATTGATATAAAATGTGTTGGGTGGCTGTAACCCAACTATAGTTGTAAATGTATATTAGTTATATAAAATTATTTTGTATTATTTAAAAAGGGGTTTAATCTTTTCTACCATAGTAGTGTTTTAAATTATGGAATTGTTTCAAAAAAAATATAGGATAAGTTGACTTCTGTTTACCATGGTAGACAATTTTCTACCATGGTTGAGTTAAATTATTTTTTTAAAAAAAATTTAGGGTGTTACAATTAACAACTCACCTAAACACTTAAAAACAAAATTTATAACATATAAACATACATACATACCTAATATTTTGTAATATATACAAAAAGAAGTTTTAATGATTCAATGGTAGTCTATTTTTTAAACAACCAAAGGGTCATAAATTCAAACCTCCTTTAGAACATTTGACTCAAATGTACCAAGGGGTCAAAGGAGGATTTGAACCCTTGACCCCTTGATTGTCTATAAAATAGTCTACCACTAAACCACCAAACTCTTTAGTTTTATATAACAAAATATAATGTGTGTTATAACTTTTGTTTTCAAGCATTTATGTGAGTTTTTCTTAATCATTGAGGAGGAGTTGTTAATATCCAAACAATGGTTGGTATATATTTGAACATGACTTGTTAATATACATGGAAAAAGTTGTTAATTTTTAAAACCCAAATTGTTCCTTTAATATTGTCAAGTTATGAATACAATATGTTAAATAAAAAATACATTTGACCTTATACCCCTATTAGCTAAATCAATAAAAGTATTTTCATGACGTTATACTTTTAAGATTTCATTTACAAATACCTAACTAATAGTTGATCATTAAATTACATATGTTTGGCCTTATAATCCTATTTAAATATGAACATTATCAAGAAATTATTTAAGCTATCAAAAAAATTAATGGATATATTTTTACTTTTTTAATTCATATTTTAAATTTTTTTAGTTATGCAAATTTATTTATTTAATATTTTTTAAAATTTAAAAAAAAAACAAGTTGGCTAAAATAATATTTCAAACACATGAAAAAGAGTTACTAAAATAGGAATTTAATATAATAAGAGAAAAATTAGTCAATATAATTTTTTATAAAATTTATAATTTTAATAAGATATTTTAAATTTTTTATTTTATACTATCATACTTAATTATTTAAAGTTACTTAAATTGAAGAGAGAGTAGACAATTAGATTATAAGGACAAATTAATTATTTTAAATTTTTCTGCATAACTACAAATAAAAAAATTATTTTAGAATCTTTAACAGAATATTCTTAATGGTATTAAAAGTTGAACTAAAATGTAGGTTTTGAAAATAGAAGAGACATCTATAATTTAAGCAAAATAGAAGGAAGGCTTGTGTATTTTACCTCTATTATATATTTTACTAAAATGTAGGCTTGGTATTTTACTCTAATTTAAGCAAATGTATTTTGTAACATATAACTAAAAGCTTTGAAGGTTTAGTAGCAGCCAATCTTTTATAAAACCAGGGGGTTTAAATTTTGTCTTGGCGCATTTAACGAATTTGACAGCTTTTGCTGGCGCCAGATCTTTGGCGATTCAGCCATCAGCGGTGGCAACCTCCTCACTAGCAACAGAACTCTGGCGGCCAGTCAGTGATGGCAACCCTTTAGAGAGAGAGAGAGAGAGAGACAGGCATTTGTGTCATTTAGACCTCCAAAGCAACATTAGTGTTTATGATGGTCTTCATTGAAATTCTCCCTTCTACTTCAATTTTCGTCAAATTTTGTCTTCGGCAATGCCAATTTTGCTCATTCTTGAAGTGATCCATTTTTGTTTTCGGTTCAAATTGCACAAAAGGAAACTCAGAATTACAAAACAACTTAAATAGATATTAAATAAACTTATAACACGGAATTACGTAACATCTTAAATATATATTAAACAAACTTATATGAAGACAAATGACTTATAAATAGAACTTATAAATAGTAACAATATGATTTCTTGGAAAATATATGCCCTCATATTTTTAAATAATTACGTCTTATTTTTTGACATCTTACACACTTCTTTTTAATTGTTTGTGTCTAAAATGAAGTATCAGTCCAAAATCATAAAAAGGTAGGAAAACTAAAATGACAGACTAAAGTGAAGACAAGACTCGATCTGTTTTCATAAAAAGTCATGCCATGTACAAACTCAGTGAGACCCTTAAAACTCAAAACAATTAAGTATAGAATATTATTGAGTGGGCATAAGATCATCATTTGACGTATCACAAATCTCGCAAGGCTATACTAAGGGATCACAAATATTTTGCGCATGGACTCTAAATTCTTCAAACACAATTGTCTTAGAAAAAGTACTATAAAAAGGGCTCAACTAACGATATAAAAGGGACGACAACTTGCACCAAAAACCATCTTGGATTCATTTTTCCAAATTATTTACCCTGTATTTCACATTTAGACTTAAATTTATTTTCAGTTCATAATTTATAATCATTATGACTTTGTATTTTATTTTTTATTAATCAAAAATACATTTTACAATAATCTCTTTGCATTTGCATCTAGATGAATTGAAGTAAGGGAATCCAAAAAATTGTGTAATTATCTTTAATGTCCCGCATCTCTGACATACCTAATTCTATTGTTTAAATACATTCAACTTGTGAAGAACTCGTTTGCCAATTTTTTTGGCTCACTTCTAATTTTTCTATTATATTTTTCTCCACAAGCTTTCCCATATTTTAAAATTTTCAAGAATATTTTCTCAAGTTATTATCCAATGCATGCAAAAAAATTATTTATGCAAGATATTAAGCAAAATATAATTGGAAATCAATTATAAGAGAGCTTCCAAATTATATTATATGCTTATCTATGTGGAATTTTGGCTATACATAAACTTCCAATTATAATGTTGGCCTAAAAAGAAAAAGTAAACCTTTTAAGTGGAATTATGGCCAAATCAAATTATACATTGGTACAAAGTACGTCATTCAATGTACTCCATGAGAAGTTATAAATCACAGGAATAAAGAGTAAAAAATTAGACATAAAAGAAAAAAAGAAGAGAGGCTTTTGCAAATGTAATTCATGTTATAAAAATAAACCAAACAAACAGTTTAATATTTATTATATTTTACATTATAGCAAATTTATTATAATTGTTAATGATATACCATTATATATTAATGATAAATCTTTTATAAATTTTTAAATTTTTAATGATAAATCTCTTATATATTAATGATAAATTCCTTTTACATCAATATAAAGCAACCATACTTTCAAACTTTCAAAAATTTATTTTATATTTTCTTGGCATAAAATTTTTTTCGGCTAGTGGATCAATTTATTCAAAGTAAAATATCTCTTCAAAAATATTTTAAAAGCACACTATAGACTAATCGGATCGAGTGGACTCTCGATCGCCCAAGGACTCATTAATCTTTGCACTAGCACCATAATAAAAAGACTATTAATCACTGACTAATTAATTTAACTTAACAATCATAGAGCTTTGATCTGGACATGCAGGAACCCCCCGAGAGGTAGGATCCTCCCAAAATTTGGCATATGCCAATTGAAGCACCGAGCGCACAACATTTGTTTTTACAGAAATTAAGTTTTATTTTATTTGTTTTTACAGACTTTGAACCCATCTCTTTAGTGTTCACCTTTGCTTTGGTTTCGTTTGTCACACTAATATACTCTATTTTTGAAGCCATTAACTGTTATTTTGGCTCATATTAATATTTGTTTTGTCTTAGTATTTGGGCATAATTTTCAGTTTCTTCTAGTTGATCATCGTTACTCTGTATTTTGTGATTGCTATGTCTCTTATTTTTACATCCAGCATCAAAATTAACATTCATTAGTTAAATGTCAAATGATTTAATATCATTAGTGTCAATTCGTTGTCCCTCTAGATATATTTAAAAATAACAAGACTAATATTGCAAATGAGAGAAAATAAAGAGACCTAGAATAACAACAAAAAATAAGGACCAATAATAAAACACAATAAAACTATAACGAGCTGTGCTTTTTCTCTCTCTCTTTTTTTTTCTTGTATAAGAAAGTTTGGATAAGTCAGATTCTAAAGCCTAAGAGCTCATAAGGACCAAGACATGCCTCTAAGTTCAAAAAACACCTATAAAAATACTTACAGATCACCCATTAATAAAATCCTTACATTGACAATGAGATTTAAACACACTTTATAGATTATAGGTGAAATTCTTACCAACTAAATCAACCTTTGTTAATTACTTTGTTCTCTCTTTTATTTCTGAACAACTTAAACAGGTTTAAAAGATTCTGATGAAAAGCTAGCAAGTATATATGTAATAAAATTAAAACAATAAACATAATTTATAAGAAGCTACTTAGTTCCATAGTGTGCCCATATTATTTAACCAACCGAGTGTACTCTCTCTCTCTCTCTCTCTGTGAATTAGAGGAATAGGTATTAATGGCCTAGGATTACCAATGGAATCAAACCCATGACCTCTCACTACAAGAGAGCTTGCATCTTACTGGACTGCAAAGCTTTTGGCTGTATTCAGTTTCTCTTTGTATATCATAGAAATCACATAATCGAGCAGATAAATCATGCAATGCATCAAAATATCAGCTACTCCCAATGCGTACATACAACAGAAGATTCACAAGGCGATAGAAAAACTTAAATAGGTAGATTAAATGCTAGTAATGAAGATTATTGAAAGCACATTATATTATACAACATCAAATTCATCCAACAAAACGTTGCCGCTTGGATCACAAATTAGCAACTAATCAAGATGATCCTACAAACACCAAGCCAAATCGAAGTATAATAGATCCTTCAAGAAACATGGTAGTGCGTTAAGCAATCAGAAAATATGATTACTTTATTGTTATTATCATAATTAATTACTCAAAGCTGATCATATGGAGTAAATTACCTAGCTTAAAAACAGAACTAACAATTGAGTCTTGTCATTTGACCATGGTTACTAAGTTGAAATGTTTGTCGTGTCAATTAATTCATATTATAATATTTGATTGCCATATAGTTATATATTATAAAAAGAGCTATATGACAAAAAGGTGATGAGAGAAATTAGACTGTTACCTTCTATCTATTGGTGTTGCCCCATAAATCGCCACCATGATCTGGATTTTGCCTTTAACTCTTCTTACAAAGGTCTAGTAGATTTGTCTCCATGAGCGAATGAAGAGAAATGGCCCAATGAATGCCCAAAATCTGATAGAAAATCCCAATCCTAAGCTCAAATAAAATTATTGAGTTGTGAAAAGTGAGACATCATTTTCATACTGATCACTTGCTTGAGGTGTAGGCGTTTCATCTTCTTGGCAATTTTTGTTGAGTGGAACTCCACACAAATCCAGATTTCCCTCATAACTTGAGGCATTAAAACTCTGCAATTGTGTTCCTCTCGGGATTTTTCCAGACAGATGATTGTTTGACAAGTCTAATACACTTAGGCAATCAATATGAGCAAGACTTGGAGGGATTGGGCCTGATAATCTATTTCTTGACAGATCTAAGAATTCCAGTAATCCTAGATTGCCAATCTCAATAGGAATTTTTCCACTCAATTTGTTTCTTGATAAATTCAAGGAAACCAATCCCAACAGAGATACAACCTCTTTAGGTATTTCACCTGTGAAAGCATTGCTAGATAAATCAATGTTTTTAAGAAGTTGTTCTGGCCTCTTGAACAAGTGATCTTTACCCTTCCACATCAATGTTACATAGAATTCAAAGCCATAAATGGTATATCCCAAGCCTGTTTTATTGAACATATGTGAGTGGTAACTTGCTTTCGTTAAGTTGATGTCATCTTGAGCCAAAACTGTGAAGTTTTGAAGACATGATGGAATTTCATTGGACAAGTTATTATGAGATAGATCCAAGAGTCAAATGTGTGCCAAGTGATGAAGTTGTAAAGGTAGGCTGCCATAAAAAGTATTCATCCTCAAGCTTAGAACTTGCAATTGTCCAAGATTTTCTCCAACCCATGAGGGTATTGACCCTGACAACTTATTCTCAGACACATCTAACAACAACAAATGGGAACAATTTGCCAAAGATGAAGGAAGTTCTCCAAAGCTATTGTTTCTTAAAACCAAAGGCTCCAAATTCACAAGTTGTCCTATGGAGGTTGGTATTTCTCCTGACAAATTATTATTGCTCAAATTAACAAGCTCTAATGAGTTTAGATGGCTCCAACAATCAGGTAGAGTTCCCCCTAATCGATTGTTTGATATGTCTAAAATGTCAAAGCCTTCATTTTCAATTTGGCCATATAAAAGTGGAACCAAATTCGAGAATTTATTTCCTAAAAGATAAAGAGTTGATGCTTGTGAAAAAAATGATGGAACTGCATCTTCAAAGTTGTTTGAAGTCAAAATTATTAGTGGCATATAATTAAACTTCAATGGTAACTTTGGAATTTCACCAACAAAATTGTTGTGTGAGATATCCATGAAAGTCATATTTCTTATTAGAGACCAAAACCACTCTGGTATGAAACCCGAAAGCCCACAATTGGAAATATTCAATGTGTCTGACTTATGTTGATTATGGAGCCAATTTGGAAAAGAAGGACCCACCATACAAGAAGCCATTTCCAAATTTTGCAACTGAAACGGGGCAATCCATCTAGTGCTAATTCGCAGGGTCAAAGAATTGCCAAACAATGATAAAGTCTTCAAATTGGAGAGATTCTTGAAATGAGATTCAGTGATTACACCTCCCAAATTATTCCCATGTAAGCACAAATCATTCAATTGAGATAGTAATCCGACGCTTTCAGGTATTTCTCCTTTCAATTGATTATTAGAGAGATCTAAATATTCCAAAAAGGAGAAAACATGAAGATTGCTTGACATGCCCTTTATTTGATTGTCTGATAAGTACAGAAGTCTTAGTGGATGACCATTGCACCAGGAAGTGTTTTGAGTAAAACTTGAAAGTTCCCCACTAAAGTTGTTATGGGAAAGATACAAGGCATTCAAAGTGCATATATTCCCTAGTGAGGTTCGTATTTCACCTTGCAGCTTATTATAGGAAAGATCAAGAATTTCAAGAGAGTTCATTATGTTTCCATAACCTCATGGAAAGGGACCTTTCAGCAAGTTACCAGAATGTTGAATTTAAGTTAGAAAATCCAGTGGAATATGGAAAATGATGTCAACAGATTAAGAGACAAATCAAGCTAGAAAAGAGAAGTGAGATTGGGATTGAAAGATGTGAAAAAAAGATTATCAGATAAAAGGCTACAATTTCTTAAATTAAGCACTTGTAGATTGGAGCTAAAGTCCAATGCCTTTAGTGACATCAGGTTATTGTAAGAAAGGTCAAGGATGATGAGGGAAGAAAGTTGAAAATGGGAAAATAGAAAATGAAGATTAGTAGTTGAAAGATTACAATCACTTGGATATAAAACTTGAAGGTTGGAGCTGAAATTGAAGGGCCATTGAAATGATGGTGAGTTCAGGTTATTTTTAGAGAGATCAAGGACAGCAAGAGAAGAGGAATAATTGGAAGTATAAGCATTAAAAGAAAGCTTATGGACATAAGAAATTCGACATCCTCTTAGCGTCAAAACTCTAAGTTTTGACAGCTCACCAATCATTTGTGGCCAGAGATAAGACTAGCCAACATCAATCACAAAACTCAAGTCAAGACTTGATAGTGAAGAAAGCTTAGATAGCCACTTTGCATCATGATTAATCTTCTGGTCGTCTAACATGAGATTATAATTGTAACCAAGATGAAGTGTCTGCAACATGGAGAGATTCCCGAGTTAAAAAGGGATCGATCCAGCAAGAACATTTCCTCCAAGATTGAGATATTGCAATGTTGAAAGATTTCCAACTGTCCAAGTGATAGCTCCAACGAATCTATTGAAACTCAGATCAAGATATACTAAATTTGAAAGCTTTCCCAATTCATAAGGAATAGTCCCAACAAAATCTGAAGTAGAGAGGTTGAGATATATTAACTTGGTAAAGGACTCTATGGACTCAGGAATTTCATTTAAATAGAATTGATTGCCACTGAGATCCAAATATTCCATACCATGCAACTCACTCAATGAAGTGATATTAATTTCACCTCTCAAATAGACAGGATACGGACTGCGAAGGTAAAGGATTTGAATATGACCTGTTTCATTACTGCAATAAACTCCTTTCCAGTTGCAGCAATCTTCATTATCTTCATCCCTCCAAGTGGATAACATGCCAAAGTCATCTTGTAGGATTCCTTGTTTGAACGAGAGCAAAGCTTTTCTCTCCTTCTCTACGCACTTTGCTCCTTCACTGTTAGTGGCCAAACTGAAACTTGTGTGCAACAAAAACAGCAATGAAAATAATGCATAGAAGAGTTTCCAGATAGAGCCCATCACAGTGACAACATCTTCAATAGGATATAAGCTCAGAAGTTAAGAGATTAGGAAGAATTATAAAACACAATTTTTAGATAAGTAAGGTTTCTCTTTGTTTTGCTTCTTGTCAGGAGATGTGAGGCGTCTAAAATGGATTTGTAAGACTTATAGAGTTCAAGTTGTAGGGCTCTAGTTGAAAGATGACTTGTAGACTTTTGTGATGAAGGAGATAAAAAGTCACGATACGGAACATGTTATTTCAAAAGTTTAGACTTTTACATAGACATTAAGAGAGCAAAGCCAAAATGTGCAAAAAGAAAATGGAAAATGTGTTTTCAAAGTTCACTATCAATATTGACAGATTTAGCGGTGGTTGATAGCTTGTTATTGCAAGATATTCTTTTGTTTGGATAAAATGGATGCCAGGATATATGGGGTTATTGTGGGGCTATACTTGAAGATGACTTGAAGACTTTTGCCATGAAGAAAACGAAGCGTGGTCACACTTATCATGTTATTTCAACAACTTTAGACTTTTTCACAGACTTCAAGAGGAAAGGCCACAAAGTACAAAAGTTGAATGATGACATACAGACTTTTGGTGATGAAGAAAAATGGAAAATGTAAGGGGAAATGATATTGAAGCACCCTCTATAAGAATATCAATTACAATCAACGATCTTTAAAATTTTGAAATTTCAGAAAACCATACTACTTGGACGGATTTAAAAATTTTTCTGAATTTAATTTTTGTATTACTCACAGGGAGATTCTGATGATGATCGATTTTCTATTATTAGAGTCAAAGGCTCCTCCGTCGAGTTGCGGCGAAGAATAACGTTGCAGAGTGGTGAATAAGGAAGGCATAAGATTAGAGAGTTGAAGCCGCACTAGCTTCCCATCGGAGAAAAGCTTATCAACTGGGAGTATGGTGAGTGGCGACTAGATCGTCAAAGTTCAAGCCAAAACTCAAAATCTTTGACGAAAGGTTTTGGATCGGCCTTATCTGGCGGAAGAGAATGATTCGGCGTTGCCGATTTTGGAGCGCAGTTTGACGGTTCATTTCTGATTTCTTGTTCAAATCCGCTTTCGATTTTTGCAGGACATGGATGGGTTCAATTTATGATATGTAGCCCGATTTTACTTGTCTTTTTTTTTTTTTTAACCTTTTTGGTAAAGTATGTCCATTTCGGTTTTGATTAGGTTTGTTTTTTTTTTTCTTTTTTTTTTCTTTTTTTTGGTTAGATTGTAAGTTTGTTCTTTAATCTTGTAAATATGGTTGATGGTCCCAAAAAAAAAAATCTTGTAAATATGGTTATGTTATTGATTTTGTTCTTAAATCTTGTTTGTATTATTAGTTTTACCTGCTTCCCAAGAACTCAATCTTTCACTCCTCAAGTTCACGGTTAATTAATAAGGGATTAAAAAAACATTTTCACTTCTCACTTATTTGTTTTGAAATATCTAGTATTAAGCTTTTACATTATATAATTTTCTCTTCTAATATTTAAAAATAATATTTTGCTCAAAAAAATATTTAAAAATAATAAATCTACTGTAATGGGTAAAAAAGTTAATTTTACAGTTAATTAATTTATAAATTATAAAAAATAATTTTATAAATTATAAAAAATGATTTTGATTAAACATTATTTTAAAATTTTAATTGACATTAATTTTTTTATAAAATATTTATTTAAATTTTACGAGTGCTTTTTTATAAATATTTAAATTTATATTATAATTTTTTCCATGTCAAAATATAACTTTTTAAGACATCAATCATTCTTGAACAAATAATTCCTAAACAAATAATTAAATAGCAAACATATCTCTAACCTATTAAGAAATCCTCAGACTGACATCAAATAAAAGCCAAGTACAAAAGGCTTAAAACTAAGATATAAGGCCCCACTCAAAAGTGGGACCCTCTCAAAAAAACAAACAAACAAACACGCATGCCGCTTAAAGCAGCACACACACGATATTCTTTAGTAAAAGGTGAAAGAATAGTTTGCTCTGTACTTACTGCATGGCTACGCATATTGAAACGTTCATTGGCTTCTTTTATACTACGTTCACCTCTTGCCACTGTCTTCAACTTCCGATATGAGATTTTCATTGATTCTTAATTACATTGTGTTTCAGTTCACTACCACTTTTCTCATGGACAAAACATTCAATGTCGTTCATGACTCGATTGAGTGTTAACCATAATAATTCTTAACAAACTAAATGAATAACTAGCTTTTGAACAACAAAATTGCAAATTATTCACAAGAAGATAAAGTGCAAGAGGGAAATACGAGAGATTGTAAAGAAGATCCTACATAAAGTTCTGTCCCGGTATGATAATTTTTACATCAATTTTTTAGGTGAACCGGTTAACTTTGACGACTATGCAATTTTCTTCTCCTCTAAGACTGAGACACCACATACACACACCCCCCTCTAATTCTAATGATCATGTAGGAATAAAATTGGTGTAATGTTATGTGATCATTGTGGACAAGTTCTTAGAATATATATGTCTTCAGACGTACGTTCTTTTGTTTCTAGCTCAATGATAGAAAATGTGATGAGGCGATGAAGATTAAGTTTTACAAATTGTACTCTGGAAAAGTGATTATAAAATAAAAAAGAATCAAGGAGTGCCAATATTAAAAAACCAGACTAACTATTAAACCAATCGAGGTATTGATTTATGATTCATTGATTGGACCATAGTCCATGATCTAATCAGTTATGAATAAATTAATATATTTTAAATATTATGTGTTTAAAATAGAAAGAAATATTGATATATGATAAAAAAATGAATGTTTAAATTTCAAATAAAATAACGTATAATAAAAAAGATAATATCCATCAATATTACATTTATTTTCATCCAAAATATATATACTTAATTAGAGTATTTTATAATTTATGACTTATAACTTTAAAAGATATGCGTATATGTATAATCCATACATATTTCTTACATTTTTTTTCATTTTATAATGCATATTAGTTATAAATATGTATAAATTATAGTTTAGAAATGTCAATTAAAAATTAAAAAATAAAATAAAAATAATATGTCCAACTGGTTTTCCAAGCTAGTTTGATCAGTTTTTCAAATTGCTAGTTTTTTGCACTATTTGGACTGGACTTGGGACTGATGGTTTCACATTCAACCAATTAAACCGATCAATTTGGTTTAATTTTCATAGCACTAAAGAGTACATCTTTTTCAAGTTACCTTGTATATAAGATTGGAGGGAGTGTATCCTAGCCTTAAGTCCTTTATGAATATCAACCAACTCATTTTTAGTTCTGTGCACGATAGTTTGGTCTAGTGTCCTCTCCATTCTTTCAAATTTCAAAATATACATTTCATATTACTCATATATTTCAAAATACATAATTTATATAAGCTGTATATAGCTGCGCCAATGGTTCCTTCTCACTTCTTCATCAGTTCTTCCCCCTAATATTTTTTCCCATTAGTTTCTTCTTGGCCTTTCCATCTCTCTCTTCTCTCTCTCTCTCTCTTCTTCATCTCTACCAATGAATCAATCAAAACAATCTTCAATATTTTGTTTCTTGTATTCCCTATCACCACCTTAAGCAAATGGAAAAAGAAAGAAAATTTCAGAACCCAAGCTCGTCAATCTCAACCTACACGTGTCGTACCAATATATCAAACCTCCATTCTACCTACCGTGAGAGTATATTTTACACTAAACCTTCTTCTTTCTTTGTCACTACAAATTGGGGGTGAGATTTTTGGTTCTGCCATGATTTTATGGTTTTCTTCATTTCTTCTTCAATTGAATCTAATCAACTTATGTCACAAGGGAGAATATGATTTCATTATGGAAACACATGCTTAAAAAACATTATGTAATTTAGAATCTTGATTTTTCATTATATATCATATTTCTTTTGATTTATAGAAACAAAATAATATTGTTATTTCTTATCTATGTTTTCAATGCTATAAAAGTTGTTGATTGTTAATATAATGAAATCTACTTCAACTATTATAGGGGGAAAAAACTTATTTAATCTTCGTCATCTTGCTACTTCAAACTTTTCTAATCAAAAAATTAAATCCTTATACCATTTGTTCTTAAAGAAATTATCAGTCTTTAGAAGTTCACATGAAATGTGGAATTTGAGTGTGTTTAAATAATTTCTTCTAATTTTAATATAGTATATTGGTTATGCTGCATTGTGAATTAAACTTTGATGATATAACATTATATACTCTCCTCCTTTAGCAGGGCATTCTACTAATCAAAATTGTTCTTCTTTTGAGTAGTGAAAAATACTTGTATTCTTGGTATTAAGAGGATTTTCCATTGAAATGTACACTTTTGAAATATTGCAATTTATATCCAATATATAAATTACATTTTTATTTAAAAGAGTTCTTATTTAATAAGAAAAATGGCTAAAAAAAAGGGAACTTACCATATGAGAAGAGCAAAAGACAAAAATGTTGTTCTTCTCTCAAAGCATCGATCATCGGCATCAATCACTTGCCCTCTTCCTCACATCACCGATCGCCACTCATCCTTCCTTGATCCTAAGACTCAACACTCCCTCACTTTCAAGACCAAAACTTCTAAGTTCTTCATCGATGAAGATCATGCCACCACCACAAGACAAAAGGATGAATCCTATCAATTCTATTTGTAAAGCTCCTTATGACTCAAATTACTTCAATTAAAAAGGTTCATTTGTTCAATTTCATTTCCTTGTGTGTTTTTCTTTTTCAATGCATTAATCAGTTGATTTAGTTTCAATTCTAAATGCTTGGTTTGATTTTTTCAGTCAGGTTTTAATTCGTTGATTTCATTAATATTCGTTACTTGTTCGTATCAAATTTTGTATATCGCTACTTGGAAATTTTATTCTTCCTTTTTTTTTAGCTTTTGCATATACTACTTAGTTTTTGCATTGATTTTAACATACAATATCTAGGAAACGATGTTATTCAATTTAGTGTTGAAGTAAAAGTTTCATAGGCATACACATCTTTGACTTTATAGCATAACTAATACATGAGCATTCTACAAAAAGAATTATCTTTTGTTATTTCTCTACTTGTTTCTCCACTAGTTTCACATCTCTAACTCATAGCATAGTACTTTTGCATGCATAGTAGCTCATGGAACACACATCATCATCCATAAGTATAAGCGAGTTATAATGCTTGCCTTAATTGTTGGGAATACTTTTTCCAAATCTCTGGCAAAGGCTCCAGCATTAATATCCTTATTTGTAGTTCCCCTTTCAATTAATGCAAATGCCATTAAGTCATAATCTTTAAAGGTAGTAGATTCCGATAATACTTCTATAGCAATCCATGTTTTAGGAGATATGCGCTCAACAATTCCTTTATAGTTCTTAAAGTGTTTCTGCTATTACTTAATAATCCTTGATGGGAAAAGACAATTGGGTGCATTGAGTTATTTAATTTTAATAATTCTTTATGGCAAAAGTAACCACTACATCTTCACATTTCAGTAGTTGCTTCTAGGTGGAAATACTTATACTGTGTTCCCTATTGATCATCAATTAATGGAGGGTTAAAATTTTAATTGGATGCGTGTAGCTAGATACCTTGATACAAAATGAAATTTTATGTAGTGTTTAGAAAACAAAAAATATCAAAGATTGCATGTTTGATTAAAATGCTATAAGAAGTGATTCCATGTTGTGCTACCAAGTGAAACATGTCTTAAGCAGGATGAAGAAGCCAGATTGTGTTCAAAATCATGATCCTAAGAATAAGCCACTCGACCATATACTAGAAAATATCCTCTTTTGAGAAGAACACTTAGATTAATTGATTGTTGTAGCACTTGATTGTTATGCTTGGGGTGTAATGCTTGGTCTATATCAGCCTATATTTCTTCACCTGCTTGATGTTAAACCAACTACAGAAGCCTTAAATAGGGTGAAGATGGATAGAAAATGAGAACTCTTCATTTGTTAGGACTAGGAGAATTACAATTATATTTATTGATTTGTAATTGTAGTAGATTGTGGGAAAAAAATTATATATATAAATTTTTAAATGAGTGATCGCAAGTGTAATTTATAAGTCTTTCGATCACATTCTAGTTTAAACAAATTATATTGTTCCCACTTTTCTTGCAATTGTTGATTATCTTAAGCTATTCAAGATTTTCCTAAGTCTCATTGCTAGGTTATTCATTAATTTAGAAATAATAAAATTTTCAAAATATCTATTTACATTTTCAAAATATCCTTTAGTGTTTTCATGAAAAATGAGAAAATTTTCAGAATATACAAGAAACATATTCATGTATAAGGTGCAATCCATGTAAAATTTTGACACCAAGACTTCTTTTTACAAAATATGTAAAAAGTATATTCAAATATAAGGTGCATTTCATCCTCATTTTATTTGAATATTACAAAAGAATTAAAATTAAGGTGATAGAGTCTGTTTGACCCTCAATTTATTAGAATATGAGATTGCATATCTTGAAAATTTACACTTGGTATAAAATATTTGAACATGCATTTTGAATATCTTGAAAATCTACACTTTGTGTCATGTTTTAAGATAATATGTAGGTATCTTCAATCACATGCACCCTTCTTCCACTATACACAAGCACCCTTCAAGGAAATGCAATTGGCTTCCATTTATGTGAATATACATTTTGGATATTCTGAAAATTTACACTTAGTGTCATGTTTTAAGATAATATGTAAGTATTTTCAACCATATGTGATCATTATTCTATGATATGCACTTGTATGTTGTAAGTACCTTTCAAGGAAATGTAATTGACTTTCATTTATTCAAACATGCATTTTGTATATGTGTTTTAAGACAATATACAAGTATTTGCAACCATATGTAACCCTTCTTATATGATATGCAAGCACCCTTCAAGAAAATGCAATTGGCTTCCATTTATTCAAACATGCATTTTGCATATCATGAAAATTTACACTTAATGTCATGTTTTAAAACAACATACATGTATCTTCAACTATATGCAACTC